CCTTAGAAATATAGGAAAAGAAACGAGTTGCCCTCTCTCCTTCCCCACATGCACATGCATGGATGCAGGAGTTTAAAACGAATTTCAATCAAGCATAGTTCGGGCGATCTAGGCGAATACCATGGTGTTACAGTTAGTTGCAAGGTAGACAAAAGAATACCTTGGGGGCCAAACACAAAATATGAGTGTATGTGAGTGTGTTGATTGGGCGGGGGCGGGGGGAGATTAAAAAAACATAACCTATTACTGGGCCTGGCCGGGGCAAAGAGCACGCTTGTTCAAGGGGAAGCGTGAGGTTTCCCGCTGTGGCGCTCATATACCTTGTCAGTACCAACCCATATACCCGTCTAGAAAAACAAAGTATTAGCCCATATACATTCCATAAAGAAGTGGCAGCCCATACTTGACAAATACACCTCCCTAGTCCCTAGAGACAAAATGGGGATCTCCTATATGCCGCTCATTGCGGCAAATTCTAACGCAACGAACACAGGCGAGCCCGACTTGACCCGCCCATCAGCATCGTGAGACATTGTAGCAAATCGGACCCTAGCAAACCGGGTTTTAAAGTTTTCTATTTTATTTTGTTAAACGCAATGATTTTTTAATTCAATTTTTTTAAACGTCAAAATGTTTTGAGTTTGTGAGAAATTTCTGAAACAAGAATATTCTTTTAAATTATGAAGAAAATGGCTAACATGAACATTTTATGAAAAATCCCGAACATTTTAATTTATGAGGAAATAAATATAATAATAATATGTTTTGAAACTGCAAACTATTTTGGAAAAACAATATTTTCAAGAATCCCCAAACATTTTTTAATTATAAATAAAGCTGGTAAACAGAAACATTTTTTGAAGTTTTGAACAACTTATGGAAAACATTTTTTTGAAAATAAAAGGAAAAAAGAAACATAAAAGAGAGGAATGATAAACTGGCGAGCATCAGATTTCTCAGGCCTCCCAACAAACACCCTCAAAGTTGTTTGATGATGACCGAACAAACGACAACTTCTCTGGGAAAGTTGCATTTTTTTTTGCTTTATTTGCGGACATGGTAATTTTCACCTCCTATCATGGCAAATCCTACAAAGTTGTCAATAGCAACTTTATTTGATTTAGCATTCGATGGGAAAATGCTCCCTGGGATGTTCACCAGTTTTTCCGGTCCAAAATAAACAAAAAAACTAGAAAAAGGAAGAAAAGGAAAATATAAAACAAAAAGTGGGCCAGCCCATCTCCCGCGCTCGGGGTAGATCCCTTTGCTAAGCCCTGACTATGTGCCGCAGTAAGCGGCACATAGGATATTCCGACAAATAGGGAAACTGAGCACCGAAATTAGTTTTCTCAAATAAATTTATGAAATAAAATACAAAAAGTAAACAAAACATAAGTTCGTAAACTACTCTTATATATACACCGTATTGTACTACTGCCGCTTTATAAAAAGAACTGTGCGTGTTAGTAGCATGTTGAGAGAACTAGTACCGAAGTAACATACGTGTGCACTAGACCCAAGTTCAAGCATGCAAGAATATATGCGCTCATTTTTTTCAAAAAAAAGAAAGAAAAGAATTCCTGCGCACACGGCATTTCTTGCTTCCACCGTCTTGCAGAGGACAGATTTGACACTTTCCACAAGAAGAAGAAGAAGAAGAAGAAGAAGAAGAAGTCCCTCTTTTGCAGCAGACGTGTACGGGTGCCGATTGAAAACGTTGCGTACAGTACATACTGGAGAAGCTGCTTCCTTCATGCACAGGGTGTACGACGGCCGGCGGTACATTCAGACTTTCCGGAGTGCCTTAATTCACGGCAGCAGCGAGACTTTCAGCCAGGAGTCGTTAAAACGTTTGATTTGATGTGGTCGGCCGGGCAAAACGAAACGAGTTTGCCACCGCGCGCGGTCAGCAGTCGTCGTTCACCCACCACCATGCAATGCATACCCGCCGCATGCACTGCGCGCTGAGGTTGGTCTACCACCGCACACGTACTGCTGCTACAGGACTAGTAGTACGGGGTGAGGAGGCGGTCGGCGTCACATTAGGTGACCCGAAAACGACGCCGTCGATCGTCGTCACCATCAATGCACGTATATATGATCGGCGACACGCGTGCACATCATCAGCTCCGTTGTCATCTCTCATCAGGGCAAGCAAAGCAAGTGGACCGAGGCTGGGTCCGATTCAATTCAAACTTGAAACCTTTGAATTACTAGTGCGGTCTGATCTGTGGCCCTACGCGTGCCGGGCAGAAGAGTTCGATCGCCACCGGCCGGTCCCGTCCGGCCATGTTGCGAGTAACTCGCGCCGTCGTCGTCTCCGTCGACGACGAGATTGATCCGCTCATCAATGCGGTTGGGGGGAGCCGATCGAACGGACCATTG